TACATAAACGTCATATTCCCCGTCAAGCGCAGCCAGATAAACATCGTCCAATTTAGTCATAAGCCCCCTGGTGTTCTGATAGTAGACACGTAAACCGCTAGAGGGTTCGGTGCGAGCCGTGTCAATGATAACTTGTCCAGTATCCGCACGAGAGAACGGTGAACTATCAGGCAGCGAAAGATCACCTGACGTAGAAAGGCTCGAAGTGGTGGCCATAAGCGAAGATGAACTGAAACGAAGTGGCGGATCAACAGTTGAATTCACATGGACGAGTTCATACTTGCCGTAAACGAGTGGTTGGAAGACCCCTTCACCAGGCCCACACACAGGGCCGGGACGGCTGCAGGTCGCTGGCGGGAATGGCTCGACTGTGGCGGGGGGCTCGGGGGCTTCCATGATGCCAACGGCAGTGCGTCCCAGTAAACAAACAGAAGTTGATTCATCATAATGGTGTAAGTCGTCAATCTTCGGCAGGACTAGATCAGAGGATCTGAATGCTTCTTCCGGTGAATTTTCTGTGGAGATAAATGATAAATCCTTACTTGAAAACAGGCAAAACTCACAAACAGGCTGCTTTTTCTTGGTATATAGTGTGATAATTCAATAATCAATAAATTATCTCAACATTTAATGACAAACCATTCATAAATTTTAGTAACATATAAATAATTCTATAATCCTATTAAATTTCATATGTAAGCGCCGATTGAAACAATCTTTTTGACGTCACTACAAGGGTGATTGATTAAACGAAAGAAACGAATCGTGTGGAATGAAATCCGAGGAAAAACTAATTGCACCAATATATTCAGGCCTACAATTCCACACCTTCTATAGACAGGTTGAGCCTTGATAGCTAGCTGCTTGCGGGAGCTGATGACCTTGACAAATGTCCAAATAATACTCTTAACAATTTTTTGGTGGCCCTGAAAAGAACCGTTTTGTAGTGATGGTTGAGTAATTCTGAGCTGGGTGTTCAACATGGATGAGGCTGTCGAGCTGTATGTCGTTTGTAGCGAGGGTGACACGCTTGGCATAGATGACCGACCCGCAGCGACTCACGAAGAGCTACTGATTTCGATCCATAGCATAGCGGTGCAGCTTCTTCCTCCTTTGATGGTTGCTTATAAGGGCTCTGCAGCTTGCTGCTTGCAGGCAGCCTTTCGTTGTTACTGGAGAACAATTTTCAACGCCACACGCCGAAAGCACTGCTACTGCTGCTACTGCTGCTACTAATTTCGACGACCGAACACCCTCACACAGTGGTGTGGTCGTTGGGAGCGTGTGGTATGAGTGGCGATGAGTGTGCAAAATATTACGCAATTCCATCCTCCCTATTCGCACGCGCCCGAGGATCGGAGGCGAATGCCACTTCGACTTGTTTCGTCTACTTACTACTCTCTGACGACTGTGCTGGGGAAGCAGCATATGCATGTAGGTAATTGGTGGATTTGTAAGTCAATTCGACGCTTTTGGACAATGCTGGACATTTACCAGTTTTTCAATAGTTTCTTGTTAAAAATCAACATTCGGATGCGTAGCCATATTTCTGATCGATTGGTGATAAAATTATTGAAATTGGACCAAGGGCAGCTGAGTTATTAACGTTCAAAATCTTTCTTAATTTGTTACATGTTCCATTTTCTGTTTTCATAAAGTGTACCCCCATATCAGCGCTGCCATTTATACAGATTTATCTGTATTATACAGATTTTTTAATCTTAATACAGACCCGATACAGAATACAGATTTATCACAGATTTTTAAATTACAATACAGATTTAAACAGATTTTTATAAAATGCTTGAGAAAAAAAATTCAAAATTTATAAAAACAAAATAACGTTTTTGATTGTATGGGGATTTACAGTATTAATTGAATATTTCCAATATAAGCATGTATACAAGAAAAGTGCCCGAGCACATTAAAATGGTACAAATACAAGTACTCGTAAACATTTTACTTGCATTGAAAATGTATTTCGTAAGAAATTGCGGATTTTCTGATATTCTCCATACTGCAAAAATGATTTTACCAGCACTGGCGGGGCGACATCTCTCGACTTTTTGGTGTAACTACCACACAAATGATATAATTAATTGTATTCATCTATATTAAAAATACCAAATAGTAATGAACTCGTGCACTTTTTTGCATTTAAAACTGCTTATCAGGAAGATAATGAATAGAAACTAAAATCTCCATAAATTTTCAAACGGCTTCATATCACTCTTATAAATAAGTACGGACGGTATCACAAATGGCGCAATTATATCCCGTATGGTTCGTACGATAGCCCAAATAGGTGGTTAAGCACTTTTTAAGGTTATTTTGTATGCACTATTTTTGATTGATACAGATTTTTTATAAAACCACCTGGCAGCTCTTCCCCATATAGAAATCAAAGACGTAGTTCTACGTCAAAAAAACAACAAGCAAAATGGCCGAATTTTTGTAAAAATGTGAATGATTAATGTGAATGTGAAATTAATTATTGTCTTGCTATTTGGCCTGGAATTGTTCTGCTAAGAAACAAATGAAGATCTAATAAATCATATTTCTCATGGATTTGGAATGAGAGTATTCGCTGTTCTTCGGATCATTGGAGTTTTCTTAGGCATTTAAGCCGTAATTAATAATCATATTGAGGGAACCCTGGTATATATTACGGTTACCTTCAAATATCTTTCGTTTGAGCTACATTGATCGTTCCAAAGAGAAGTCGTAAAAAACCGGAAAAATTGGATCCTAAATTATTACAACTTAATCTATAGCAAAATCGTCATCATTTGAAGAAACAGACTTTCCCTTCATTTTAAGAATACTAGGGTGCGGACCTTCTTCACTGTACACAAACATCATCCTCTGATCGAATGAAACCTCAGACCATTCAAAACAAAACACCGAAATCGGTTTTTCGAATGATAGCTGCAACCGGATGACGGTTGTTTTGAAATCAGATGATTTTCCTCTCGAATACAGGATGAAACTTGTTATGAGAAGGGATAGGGTCTTCCGTTGAAATCCGTAATGCTCTCTGCAGAATGACTGTCATACTAAATGGAAATGCGTATGGAATTGGTTCAGCCCCATAACGCAAATCATTCAAAACGATGATGTAAATAATTCTATCGAACGTCATTTGCTGATCTGAGCTGACAAACGAGGTGGAAGCATATGCATCGCTATCAGAGCTGTTACGAACATAGGTAAAGGATGAAAACCAATGTTTGGCTAGTTCGTGGTGGAGGAGATTTTCTCCAACACGAAAATTTTTTGTATCCATAATGGAATGGCTAATTATGGCTATTCAGTATGGAATTGTAGATAATCAAATTATAAATCTAATTAAAAGCACTTGCATGTCACACTATTCTTAAATGTTTGTCCTCTGAGTGCCGTATGTTTTATAGTTAATTTTCAAACGAAAATCATCCTGTATTTGGATGATAGTCAAATGGAGGTTCAACATCTGACGACGAATTCAACCATAAGAAAATTCGTCCGAAATTCGAATGCATATTGTTAAAGGGCTCGAGCAATGCAATAATCATTCGAAGTATTGCGGATGTTTTGGTACAGTGTTGGTCATAAACTCAGGTCTTTTTACATGGGTAATATGCACCGTGTAAAAAAAAAAACCACTACGCTTTTGATTTTTCTGATGCTAAAATCTTAAAAAAAAATATTTTTATGCCATTGGTGCATTTGAAAATATCTGTCTTTTACAACAAAATTGTGATTTTTTATTTGATTAACTAAGGCTTGAAACGAAAAATGTGATTTAAATCAAGGTGATGGGTAGTAGGGTTAACTACCCCATTTCCGGCCTATTAAGCACAACCCGCACTTAGTCTATCTTAATCTAGCACTGTTTAGCACCAAACGGAATGTTATCATTACTGATGGCTTCAAAATTTATTTAACTTTCCGTATGCACCGCAAGCTTTGATAAAGAGAAACCAATCATTGAGATATTGTCAAAAGTCTAACACTGCTTCTTGACGCCAAACTCGGCCTACGGATTTTAAACTCGGCCTAATGCATTGAAACGCCATTCAAACGCCAATTAATTCACTTCGGCCTATCGGATGAAGCAAAACATTGATTCGGTCAAAGCGCTTCATTTTTTATTTAATAATATTGGATGCAAAACTTCATATCACGCGTTCTCATGGACTTTGTTCCGTAGCTTATTAACTAAAGTATCATAGCAAACGCATAACTTGCCTCGATAACTCTGAAATCATGGATTTATTTGAAGTTTTCTGCTCGATAGGCCCAAAATGGGCGATTAGGCCGAAGTAGTTCTCTGCCCTATTTATATTGAGAAATCGAGAAGAAGTTCTGTTGAGAAGTTTAAGTTAAAAAATAGAGCTTTGTTCATGAGACGGAATTCGTTTGGGTGTAGAAAAGTCGGATTTGGGAAAATATCGGATGAGGGTTTGCGAAAAGTGAATCTGCCCATGATTATGATGCAGAAAATTGTTCCAAAAAAATCCATGAATCTTACCGTAGTTAACAATAAGATAAACGACCGTCTACTTCCGCTGACTGAAAAACTACCGATAAAGGACTGGTATTCCCAGGCAATGTTTAGTTCTATGCGGTTTCCTGTCCAAAACGCCTAATTGACGGCATGCTTTGAGTCTGCAGATCTGATTAGCTGGACTTTTATCAGTGACAACCACAGAAGTGACAACGAAATGATAGGACAATTGATGAATCGATAATCATTTTGACTATCTTATCGAATACGGGAGCTGAGATGTTTTACAACTCCATCGTTGTTTGCTTTCAAATTATTCTGATATTTGGAAAGCCCTGTGCACCCAACAAAAAATCACCCAATGCAAGATTTTGTGTAGATTTAAAATTTCAAAAATACCCATAACCCTCATAAATCAAATCGACTGGTCAACGATTTCTCGTTTACAACCTACGGTTGTCTTATCGATGCTGCTACCGATAAGGCTACTTCGTATAAAAGCACTCACCTTGGAAGATCTTCTTCATTCTGAGTCGAATTGAAAGAGTAGAAGAAACATGAATCGTCTGAGTTTGTTGTTAGTGTTCGTTGGAGCGGTCGCCGTCTTCGGCACCAGTGAGTATTGCATGGAACCTGGTCAATGCGAGACCGAGAAATTCAATCCGTTGTTTTTTGTTTATTTGTAGCTCTCCCAGCGGAATTCCTTGAATGGGAAGGTCGTATCGTCGGTGGCCAGAATGCCGCCTCCGGACAGTTCCCGTACCAGATTTCGCTCCGTTCATCTGCCAACGCTCACTTCTGCGGTGGTTCGATCGTCAACAACCGTTATGTTCTGTCAGCTGCTCACTGCACCATTGGACGCACTTTGGCCAACACTCGTGTAGTCGTCGGAACTCACCTGTTGAACAGCGGTGGCGTTGCTCACAATTCGGCTCGCATCATCAACCACGGATCGTACAACGCCAACACTCTCGCCAACGATATTTCGCTGGTGCAGACCGCGACGGTTATCGCATTCAACAACCTTGCTCAACCAATTGGTCTGGGAGCTACCTTCATTAACACTGCCGGTGGTGCTCTGGCTTCCGGCTGGGGTCAATTGGGAGCCAATGCCGGTATTCCAAACAATCTGCAATGGCTGAGCACCAGCATCATCACTCTGGCTGATTGCCGTAGCCGTCACTCGGTTGCCAACGCTGCCCGTGTCTTCGACAACACCATCTGTTCGTTGAGCCCAAGCGGTCAGGGTATGTGCATGGGAGATTCCGGCGGTCCATTGGTGCATGGAGGCAACCAGCAGGGAGTCGTGTCATGGGGTATTCCCTGCGGTCTGGGAGCTCCTGATGTATTCGCTCGTGTGTCTTCGCACCGTTCCTGGATCTTGAGCAACGCCGTTTAAATTGCGATGAGCTGAGCTTTTGTTATTGTTGTGATAATAAATTATGATTCGGAAATTGTTTATTTTCATTGTTGGGAGCGAGCAGAAGGGGGCATGGGTTCAATCGCAGCCAGCTACATTGCAAATAATGTAACTTTACTAGCGGCGCCGGTGGTGTAGTGGTAAGCGTGATTACCTCTCACCCCAGCAGGCCTAGGTTCAATTCCAGTCGGCGCCGCCAGGATGTTCTGAGGCATAATAACGTCTCTGATCACACCTTCCTTCGGAAGGGAAGTAAAGCCGTTGGTCCCCGGTTCATGAGTTGATGGGTCGATAGATGATAGCATTGGCGTTGGTAACATTGGTGCTCAGCACGGAAAACAAGATCGACGGAAATCAAATCTAGGAAAAAATAAAAAAAATATAACGTATAGCAAACTTACCCACTTATTTATCAACATACAAACAAATCTCGCCTCTTTCGTGGCACCTATGAGTAGACGTTGCGAGTTTTCCGCATCTATATTAAGCACGGTTTAGACCAGCGCTGTACAACGTGCGGCCCGCGTGCCAGACGCATTGGTGTAGCTAATTACCATGCCTCCTCCAGAATTTTTATGCCAAACACTGTTGAATGCTTTTCTAGAAGAGCAATCCCAGACTTCATATTTGTTGAACGAATTAAAATTGCTTCAAATTGAAACAACTTTTAATGTTTCCATTTATCAGGGAAGTATGGCAAATGGAAACTTATGTTAAATAATTTTACCATGAAATACAAGGAGTTTTTGATGAGGATTCCATGATCATCTGGAGCTTTCATATTTTGAATTTGTTTAGCTATAGATCTTACTTCGTCCCCCAGGAATCATAAAAAAAATCCTGCAGAAAATATTCAGATAATCCCGAGCAACCTGATTCTCAATAGAACTAGTAAGACCCAATCCAAAACTCCCAAACTCCCTTTCAACAAGTTAAAAAGCTCGCCTTCATTACCTTTAAGAGATCGAGCATTCCAATTCAAAATATTTAATGATTTAAAATCCAGTACTCAATTTCAAAGTTATTACATATTAATCAAAAATTTAGCTTCAGTTTGAATGGCATCAAATATGGGATTTGTTACCAATTTACCAGTAATCATATCGATTAATGATTTCTGCAAAAAATACATACTAGGGGCAGTAATGCTACCTAAGTCCAAATCATCAAAATTTCCGATATAATTATGTTAACTAGAATTTTGATTTCGATTTCTACCAGCTGCATCATAGGTAGCTCCATTTACTTGCTGAACTTTGTTAGCAGCAAGTATAGATGAAGTATTTGAAGCAAGGGAGCTATTTGTATCTATTTGTACGGGTACTAATGTAGAATTTGTTCCACGCTGACCGTTGATAACAGCAGAGTAATTAGTACCTGTCCGCCGCAAGTGAAAAATTTGTGTTGCTTCTCAGTAAGATACTTGAGAAGACGTTTGAATCCGTCCAAGGTTTCAGCCAATGGCATTCACCCCGACAGGTCGATTTGAAGTGAAAACTTGAATTTAACGAAATTCCAAGAAATCGGCATATCAAATTGATTGCTCAAATTCATTAGAAGGGGGATCAGGTCAGGAGATTGCCCTTTTCTTTTGCTTTTAGGCGCCATGGCAGCAGTAAAACGTTTCTCCAAATCGAGTTCCAAGCAGATTACCATAAGAATCAAAGAAGAATTTTCAAGTCGATGTCCAAGCAGCGGGTAGGGTCCAAACAAGGTTCGAAAAGGAATAAGAGTTGCACAAGGTAGAACATTTGCAGGTAATATTGCGAACTGAAAAGTGCTGTTTAAATTTGTTGTAGCAGTAACACTTCCTTCAGCAGAAAGTTAAAAGATCCACACGACAAGAGAGCATGATTCGGACTGTATAAGATGATATAATGAATGCTTGGTACAGGTAAAATGTGATAAAGTGGCTTTCAAAGAGTCACGTATGAATCATACTAAAACTAGTGGACATCGATGACCGTTACGCGAGCCATCGTATTATTTAGGCCTATTCTGCGCGGCGTGTGAGGTGAGGTGACAGTGAAGTGACAATTGTCACCTCGGGTGAGGTGCCTCTCCATTTGATTTGCATGGAGAGTCAGCTGACTCTCCATGCAAATCAAATGGAGAGGCACCTCACCCGAGGTGACAATTGTCACTTCACTAGTGACAGTGAGTCACCTCACCTCACACGCCGCGTAGAATGTAAACACTAGTTTTACCGAGTGCTTTCTCCGAGCTTCTTGGGCAGAACCACAAGGGTGGCAGACATTTTCAAGCACATGAAACTGTCGAAGTTTGCTAAGAAATATTTGGCTTGGCAGGCGATCTGTACTGAAATGTGACATTTTCATTGGAACCTGGACCATCAACCAGAAAATTTACATGAACGAGTGTCTGAAAAAAAGTCTGCTGCCTTTCCTGAAGCAACACGATTGTTCCTAGCTATTTTGGCATCCTGCCATTAAGGAAAAAAAGGCCATAGAGTCATATGCCGCCAACAACGTGCAGGTGGTACCCAAGGAAAAGAACCCTCCCAACAGGCCAGAGCTCCACCCAAGCGAAAAATATTGGGCATCGTCAAGCGGAACCTGAAGAAGACCCAACAAACTGTTGGAAGCGAGAAGCGTTCTGCGGCGAACTAAGTGAAGGAGTTGGCTGTACAGAATCTGATGGCAGGAGTTGAACGAAAGGCCCGGAAGCTTAGCTGTGTTTTATGCTAATTAAACTTAGAAAAGAAAAATAATTTGATTTTTTAATAACAAAATTAATCAATTTAACGCATTCTTGTTTGACCAAATTTTGATCGGGGGAGGTTGCTCATCGATTCTTCCGGTCCGCCTCCTAGCATCGTGCTATAAGGTACCACGTGGTAACCAGGGTAGTTGATCGATAGCTTGATGACGTCATTTCGTTATTGTTTGCAATGGGAAAATCTCATAACATGCGTTGACGATGAGATGTTGTCGAGTTGTTGATTAGCAACCATCGTGGTAACTCACCGATTACCTGTCGATCTGCCAAATTTGGAAAGACGTCTGCATTGAATTGTCTCATATAATAATATTCCGTCCACTATATCACAAGAAATTGCGAGTAGCTGAGTGGAATGGAGATACGTTAAGCATTGGGTACAGGACCAAGTCTCATCAAGTTGCCATAGGGCACGGAATGAGACTATTGCATGGCTGGGTAGTCAAAGTCCTCCATTCGTTAGTTATTTCAGGTGGATTAGAACAGGTTTAGGTTTAGGGATGGATTCTACGCTTAGAGGAAGCACAATACGGTTAGTGGTTTCTTATTGTGGTCTGGTTCAGATAGTTGTTGTTGTTGTTGTTGTTGTTGTTGTTGTTGTTGTTGTTGTTGTTGTTGTTGTTGTTGTTGTTGTTGTTGTTGTTGTTGTTGTTGTTGTTGTTGTTGTTGTTGTTGTTGTTGTTGTTGTTGTTGTTGTTGTTGTTGTTGTTGTTGTTGTTGTTGTTGTTGTTGTTGTTGTTGTTGTTGTTGTTGTTGTTGTTGTTGTTGTTGTTGTTGTTGTTGTTGTTGTTGTTGTTGTTGTTGTTGTTGTTGTTGTTGTTGTTGTTGTTGTTGTTGTTGTTGTTGTTGTTGTTGTTGTTGTTGTTGTTGTTGTTGTTGTTGTTGTTGTTGTTGTTGTTGTTGTTGTTGTTGTTGTTGTTGTTGTTGTTGTTGTTGTTGTTGTTGTTGTTGTTGTTGTTGTTGTTGTTGTTGTTGTTGTTGTTGTTGTTGTTGTTGTTGTTGTTGTTGTTGTTGTTGTTGTTGTTGTTGTTGTTGTTGTTGTTGTTGTTGTTGTTGTTGTTGTTGTTGTTGTTGTTGTTGTTGTTGTTGTTGTTGTTGTTGTTGTTGTTGTTGTTGTTGTTGTTGTTGTTGTTGTTGTTGTTGTTGTTGTTGTTGTTGTTGTTGTTGTTGTTGTTGTTGTTGTTGTTGTTGTTGTTGTTGTTGTTGTTGTTGTTGTTGTTGTTGTTGTTGTTGTTGTTGTTGTTGTTGTTGTTGTTGTTGTTGTTGTTGTTGTTGTTGTTGTTGTTGTTGTTGTTGTTGTTGTTGTTGTTGTTGTTGTTGTTGTTGTTGTTGTTGTTGTTGTTGTTGTTGTTGTTGTTGTTGTTGTTGTTGTTGTTGTTGTTGTTGTTGTTGTTGTTGTTGTTGTTGTTGTTGTTGTTGTTGTTGTTGTTGTTGTTGTTGTTGTTGTTGTTGTTGTTGTTGTTGTTGTTGTTGTTGTTGTTGTTGTTGTTGTTGTTGTTGTTGTTGTTGTTGTTGTTGTTGTTGTTGTTGTTGTTGTTGTTGTTGTTGTTGTTGTTGTTGTTGTTGTTGTTGTTGTTGTTGTTGTTGTTGTTGTTGTTGTTGTTGTTGTTGTTGTTGTTGTTGTTGTTGTTGTTGTTGTTGTTGTTGTTGTTGTTGTTGTTGTTGTTGTTGTTGTTGTTGTTGTTGTTGTTGTTGTTGTTGTTGTTGTTGTTGTTGTTGTTGTTGTTGTTGTTGTTGTTGTTGTTGTTGTTGTTGTTGTTGTTGTTGTTGTTGTTGTTGTTGTTGTTGTTGTTGTTGTTGTTGTTGTTGTTGTTGTTGTTGTTGTTGTTGTTGTTGTTGTTGTTGTTGTTGTTGTTGTTGTTGTTGTTGTTGTTGTTGTTGTTGTTGTTGTTGTTGTTGTTGTTGTTGTTGTTGTTGTTGTTGTTGTTGTTGTTGTTGTTGTTGTTGTTGTTGTTGTTGTTGTTGTTGTTGTTGTTGTTGTTGTTGTTGTTGTTGTTGTTGTTGTTGTTGTTGTTGTTGTTGTTGTTGTTGTTGTTGTTGTTGTTGTTGTTGTTGTTGTTGTTGTTGTTGTTGTTGTTGTTGTTGTTGTTGTTGTTGTTGTTGTTGTTGTTGTTGTTGTTGTTGTTGTTGTTGTTGTTGTTGTTGTTGTTGTTGTTGTTGTTGTTGTTGTTGTTGTTGTTGTTGTTGTTGTTGTTGTTGTTGTTGTTGTTGTTGTTGTTGTTGTTGTTGTTGTTGTTGTTGTTGTTGTTGTTGTTGTTGTTGTTGTTGTTGTTGTTGTTGTTGTTGTTGTTGTTG